TATATCTATTATTGTTGGAAACATCACACAACCGACTCGAGATGAAATAAATTGTTCAAACCAATCTATCTATCGCCTGGTCGCTGGTGTTGACCTATTGACTTGTTGCTGACCTCCCTGTCATTCTCCAAGTGTTTCTCAGTTTTGACACTAGGCTTTCAAATGCTTTTGACGTTTATTCCTCTGACTAACATTATAGTTCCCTTTAAATTCTAGAAACAAGCAGCTATAATGGAAGTTAGAAGAAAACTGTTTGCATATAGCTCAAATTTGCACTCAACACACAAACGTAGTTTTCTATTCATCTTTTGACAGAAAGCACGGAAATTTGCGCAAATTCGGCATAGCATCCATGGGTGTGAGCGCGTCTAAAAATTCTTTATTCGGTGACAACCAATCGTCAAGCAGCATGCCTTCAGTGAACGAGCCTTGCGTATCTGCAGGATTGAACCTGTATTCACTTTCTGGATTCAGCGACCACATAAAACCACCTGCATACTTATTTTTTAAGAGCACTTGAATTGTCAAATCCGTTGTGCGCTTCGTTGTCATCTCCGGGTGAGTATCTTTCGTGTATAAACCACCAAATTCTCCTAAAAGAAGGGCGAAACCACTTTTGTCCGCTAAATATCCAAACATGTCATTCATCGTGCCTTCAACGCGTGCCAGAAGAATGTCATCGGATAGCTCAACAAACGTCGAAAAGTCCGAAGTCGTTCCTTTTCCATAAAAATATTGCTGAGGGGCGACTGCAGTCGTGTAATAGTGTGGTGCCCAAACTACTTTGTTCTTTAAGGTAAAGTTGGGCTGACTATCCTTTGCCTTCTGCAGACCTCCACCCCACCAATCATAATATTTCATATCCTCTCCTTCGATTGTGACTGTGTGTGTGGCCACCACACCCTCAACAAATCCCAGCCACTGAGGACACTTTTCATGCATAACCTTTGCAATTTTCTCGCAGCCCAAGACAAAATCATCTTCCTCCCCTGTACCCCACGTTGCGGTTTCTGGCTCATTTTTCAGGTCAAGTCCCATGACATTCCAATATTCTGGTCCACAGAGATTTGACGACACGATATCAACCGCATTTAAAAAGTCATCCTGACTAACTCCGAGTTGTGCATCAAACCATGTTGCTCCTGACTTTGTATTTGTAAGCCTGTGCATACTTATAAGCACACCAATATTGCGATAAGCTAAGGACTTGATGAGTGTCTGTAAAGTCGAGATGAAGTTTGTTCCGTTGATTGCACGATTGCTTGAGAGATTGATTACTCCTTTTTGAGGTGGATTGTTATGAAGAACATTTTCAATAGAAATCGGTAATCTCACAGCATTAAATTTATTTCGCGCAAGGAATGCCGCGACTTCGTACTGTTCATCGCAGCAATCATAAGAGAGATCTAATAAAGACAGCAAAAGAAGAGCTCAGAACACTCACAGCTGTAGTGCCATTCTCTGAGTTCTCCCATAGACCAAACGGAACTGCGAGTGCTGTTTCCATCCCGAACCAGTTAGTCCCCTTGATTTGGATTGGTATCTCCGTGCCATTTGAAGCAACCGCCACGATTTGACCATTTTTGCTTTGGTAATCAGGCATTTCACACGCTTGACAAATCTCATTAGTCGATTTGATTGTTTCAACAGCAGATAAATAACTTACTGACTGTGGTATCGTACGACTTCGGATTGCCGACTTGACCATCGTCCGAAATAATAATTTTATCATCACTTTTGCCATCTTTGATCGAGCGCCGGTTTGCTAAATTTCGCTCGTACATCATTACTTGTACTGTGCGGGCTTCGTGTCTGTTTTTAGCTCCCGTTACAATAAAAGTTGCAGCACCACCAACAAGCACAAACAGTAGCACCAGTCCCGGCCAGATCTATCATCATTAAACCATCGACTGTTATTGGTCCAGCATTACACATTTATAGTTAGTTATCAATACTACACATACCCTGTACCGTCCATTGTAGTTTGATTCGACCTCCGAGTCCACGTTCAGCTTTTTTGCTACAAGTTGTCTGTTTGATGATGGCTCTATAGTATGCTGCTTCGGAAATTGGTCCTTGTCTGAATATAAAGCTGTATTAAGCACTTCATCCCCCTCAAGAGAATTAGACTCGTTGAGTGCGGTGTCATTCTTTATCTGCCACGGTGTCGTTGACGACGATAATCGCTCCCCGGGCTGGTCCACCACATAACTCGAATGGTGATGTCGCATCAGCACACCAGTCACTATCGTTATACAAGATGAAACTGGTCTGAAAGACGGCTGGCGAGGTTGTTGCTCTTTACGCTTTTCAACAACCGCATCATCCACACTATCTTACCACTGTCTCTCGCAGCCATGTGTCACGCCTTGCCATTATAACAAAAATATCGACCATAGTCGTCGTAAGATGCTCGTAGCTAATCATAGACCTAATCTGCGTGACCCGGCTTTTCGGGTATTTTGAAACATAATCCCCACCAAAACGCTTGCAGCGCTTATAATGATTTTCGAGCTACACCTTAGGCTGCATGATCGAGATGAACATCAACGATCGTCGAGAGATAAAAGTGTATTTATAAAGTCGATATATAAATTTGAAATGCTCCACGAACAAAATTGTATGAGCCTAACACTTAAACCCACCTTCTCGACAAGATTGAGAGTGTGAGAGTTTAAAGTACTCACAATGAAGAACTATATCGTCCTGGAAGGTGCAGTTGGATAGCACCCACGAAGAAATCGATTTAGTAGAGCAAATATGAAGAACTACCAAAGTGCTCAAAGCATGAAGACTTCAAACCATAGTACTGTAAAATACAAGTTGACGAAAATCCACAGGAACATGACATAGTCAAAACAATGTCTTTTGTGAATCCGCTAAGCAACTTTGTGCATCAGCCCAAGTCTGGATAAAATGCTTCATTCAAAATTAATTAGGATAGCTACTCTTTTGAAAATTTACCTCAGTGCCTTACTTTGTTGCAGAGAGCACACTGAATTCTCTAGCAAATCATTCATGAGACTTGAATGAGAAATGAAACTGACTATCAGTAAGATATTGGCTCTATCATCTGAGCCAGAAGTCTCTTCCGCTTATTTGAAAAAATGTATTTTTCAATCTTCTTTGCCATATTTAGAACGCTATAATCGCAAAATGAAGCTTCCGACCCGACGTCATGTTTTCAGCGGTGTCTACAACCAGGCTAAGATATCATTTTGACCTTCATGAGAACCTGATGTCATACGCAGCTCGAAAAGCTTGCTGTTACTAAAGCATGTGCGGATCAGATGACTTTAAATTTGCCAGTTGCAATTTCATGTTTTGATTAGGTAAGTTCAAGTGTCAGAACAAAACAAATAGGATTATGCTTTGCACCGTCAGGATTTTATATAAATGAATTACATATGCCTTTATGATTTCACATCAGTCAAGGCTTGGGCGTTTCCTTCTGAGGAAAACATGGAAACATTTTGAGATTCTTGATGCCGTTCATGGCCTCCATGCCCTGCATGAAGACCTTGTTGGGTGTAAGCCAGTCGTCTTCCAGTAATCCCTCAGTAAACGTGCCATACTTGTCAGCTGGATTGAACTGATACGCACTCTCTGGATTCAGCGACCACATATAACCACCAGCGTAGCCCGCCTTGAGCATGACTTCAATTGTGTAGTCAGTTGTACGCTTCGTCGTTTTCTTTGGATGGGCATCTTTGGAATAAAGACCAGCAAACTCCCCCATGACCATAGCCGAATTTTTGTCTACTCTGAGTAAATAGCCGAACATCTTGTCCATAGTAACCTCAACATTTCTTCGTAGCGTCATGTCGTCAAGTTCTACATATTTCTTGAACGCACCCGACGCATCTTTCTCACCTGTTGACGCGTAAAGATACCAGGCGGGAAAGACACCAGTGTTGTAATAATGTGGGGCCCAAACAATTTTGTTCGCTACATTGAGCTCTACAGATTTGTCACCAGCGTTTTCAAGGCCACCACCCCACCAATTGTAGTACGTATCCGTTCGATCCCCAACTGTAACGGTTCCCGATCCGGCAACCCCTTCAACAAAAGCTATCCAATTAGAGCAGCCTTTCAACATGCGGTTGCCAATAAGTGATGCCCCCTTTTGCCAATCTGGAGTCGGTCCACCCCAAGAGCATTGGTACGGTTCGTTTTTCAAATCAAGTCCAAGAATATTCCAATACTTTGAGCTACACAGGTTTTTGGTAAGAATGTCAACAGCCTTTAAAAAGTGATCCTCAGATACTTCAAGTTCGTCACTGTACCAAGCACCTCCTGACTTCATTGGATCCAAAGTATGAAGACTAATCATGACCGAAATTTTACGATATCCAAGAGCTTCGACGATCGTTTGAATAGTGCTAATGTATGACGTGATGTTGATTGCACGGTTTGTATTGCTATTAATTAGCGATTTCTCAGGAGCTTTGTTCATGAGAATATTCTTGATACAGACGGGGAGTCGTACACTATTAAACTTGTTACGAGCCAAAAACGCAGCGACTTCGTACACGGAAGTTCCGTTGGCCATATTTTCCCAAAGTCCGAAAGGAATTGCCAAACTGGTTTCCATGCCAAACCAATTGACACCCTTGATTCCAACTGGAACTTCTGTCCCGTTTTTTGACACAGCAAAGATTTGCCCCTTCTTGCTCTGGTAATTTGGAAGCTCACAGCCCATACTCGGGTACTTTTTTGGATTCCCCACCTGACCATCGTCCGAGATAATAACATCGTCGTCTGTTAGACCATCGTTGATCCTGCGACGCGCTTCGATTCTGTGTTCATAGCGCTCTTGTCTCATGGTTGCCCTATCGTTCGCCCTTTTGGCACATATCGTGGTTATCGCAGCCGCTACACCAACGACTACACAGAGCAGCAAAAGCCCTCGCCACGTCTAAGCGTATGCGAGTTAGTTAGTCAATCCCAAAAAAAACAAGTCTTTTAACACATACCCGGATTCGGCCTTTATAGTCTTGCACTCGTTCAAGTGATTCAACGTCACTCGGTCCCAGGGCCATCAGCTTCATTTCCGTCTGGCGCTGAGTCTTCGTGTCATGGCCAGAGTCAAATCCTGTTCCTTGATCGATGTAAGCATTGGCTCGACCACTTGTGAGCTCAGTGTTTCGATACGTTTGGGTGGGAGCGTCACTGACGTTGGTGGTTGCGGTGGTAATAACTCCATAAGACTCAGGTAGAGGCCGAACCACACTAATCTCCATGTCTTAAAGATTTTGGTTGCGATGAACAAGAAGTTTTTCTGAGTAAACCTCGTGCTTTGAAGTTGGACAATGACAAGCAGCTCAACTCACGTTGTGATGACTCGACAGTTCTTATAGTGCAAACTCACTTTTAAGCGGTTTTCGTCACAGCTAATTCTAGATTGCTACAGCTTCTGATGGTAACGGATACGTGAATGGATCAGCTTCAAGAATAGAAGAGGTAGAAACGTTAAATTTTGTTGATGATTTTAAAGTACTAGAGCAAGTAAACGACCTAGAATTACTCAGTCGCGACTTCCATCTCCATCTCAAAGCACGGGAACATCTTGAGATCCTTAAACGCATCCATAGTAGCCATACCTTCGAGAAAAACCTTGTTAGGTGTGAGCCAATCGTCAAGAAGCAAGCCCTCCGTGAAATGACCGTACGTGTCTGCAGGGTTGTATTGGTATGCACTCTCTGGGTTGAGCGACCACATGTAACCACCAGCATATCCATCTTGTAGCATGATATCCATTGTAAAATCACTTGTACGTTTGGTCGTCTTTAATGGGTGAGCGTCTTTGGCATATAGACCAGCGAACTCTCCCATCACCATGGCACTATTTGGGTCGTCACGAATCAAATAACCAAACATCTTATCCATCGTTTTTTCGACGTTGTTCCGCAACGTCTCATCGTCCAGCTCGACGTAATTTTCACGTGCACCCTCAGCATTTTGTGTACCAGAAGCGTAGAGGTACCACGCAGGCATCACACCCGTATTGTAATAGTGGGGAGCCCAGATCAATTTGTTTTCGATATCAAAAGAAATCGGGTGGCTACCTACGTCGGCTAGACCTGCGCCCCACCAATCAAAATACGTGTCTTCCACCCCGTTCAGCGTAATAGTTCCCTTGGAAGCTATACCTTCAACAAATGCCATCCAATTGGGACATCCTTCCAGCATCCTATTGCCGATGAGTGTAGCACCCTTCTTCCAGTCAGGATCGCTTCCACCCCACGAGCATTCATGTGGCTCGTTTTTCAGGTCCAGTCCAAGAATATTCCAGTACTTAGAAGTACACAAGTTCTTAGTCAAAGTGTCAACAGCAGTTAAGAAATCGTCTTCAGTCACACCCAATTCATCACTGAACCAGGCACCACCGGATTTTTTCGGGTCGAGAGTATGAAGACTGATCATGACCGAAATGTGGCGGTAACCAAGTGCTTCCACGATCGACTGAATGGTTGTCATGTACGTCGAGATATTCATAGCGCGATTGGTTTCAAGGTTGATCAAAGATTTTTCAGGTGCCACATCACTGAGAACGTGCTTAATACATATTGGTAGACGGACGCTGTTGAACTTGTTACGGGCCAGGAAAGCAGCGATTTCGTATACAGATGTTCCGTTGTCCATATTTTCCCAAAGGCCAAAAGGAATAGCCAGTCCAGTTTCCATTCCGAACCAATTAAGACCTTTAACACCCACTGGCACTTCAGTGCCATTTTTTGATACTGAATAGATTTGTCCGTTCTTGCTCTGATAGTCAGGCAATTCGCATCCCATGTCTGGATACTTCTTTGGGTTACCCACTTGTCCATCGTCGGAAATGAGCACATTGTCGTCATCAAGCCCGTCCTTTATTTTGCGACGATTTCGAGACGCGCTCTCGTAGCGTTGAGCATTAATGTTCGACTGGTCTCGCACGTCGATGGCATTGATGGTGATCAAAGCCACAGCAGCAGCTAAAATTCCTAGCAATAGCAACAGACCTGGCCACGTGCGGATACGGCCTTTGTAATCTCCCATACGCTCTGGAGCTGCACCCATGTCAGGCTCGACAGCCATAAGCCTCATTTCAGTCTGTCGTTGACCTCCAGGGCCATAGGAAGCGCTTTCACGACCTCCGGACTCGGTAAGCCGAGAAGTTTCCATTGCCTCACGCGTGTATTCACTGTTGCGAAAGGTCGAACCAGCACCACTCATGGAACCTACCATAGGACGGGAAATTTCAGCCGCCTCTGCCATACTAGTGCAGTCGAATATGAGTTAAGCAGGTTAAGGAATGAATGGGGAAAGAGTCCAGGAAGTGTGCAATACAGTACTTTAGCATTTAATGAAAAATTACTTCATTTTGGCAGAGGGACGGCATTATTGGCTCGTTTATCGCATCGGTTTTTAGTAGCAAGACGATTTTTTTCAGAAGTCGTAAGAATTTAATGCGCTCCTAACCCTAAGTTTGCTCGCTGAGTTAGACTTGATAAAAAAATCCAGCAGTGGAATCGATAAGAGTGCCCCCATACGAAACGTGAAAACGAACTCGCTTAATCGACAAGACAGTTGGATAAATAAGCACGAATGAGGACAGCCCCAAAACATCTAGCGGAAGGTAATACATACGTCAGTAAAAAAGGATGCTCGTAACCGGTATGTGCCTCATTAAAATTGTTCAATACTTGAGATGTGATTTTGGGTACATGTATTTCCCTGTTGCTACCAATAGCTGAGCTTTAATCAGCATAGCCTTGACCAATAACGGTAAACGTGGAATTCATATTACACTGAGGACAGGAGCACATTGTTACAGCAGAGAATATTTAGAAAAGACCTTTCAATAATAATATTCGTTTGTCAAGTTGCAATTTGGAATTACACTCGTGTACACACCAGTCTACATGATACCAATTCACAGCCGTTATGACTGTTTGTACTCCAGATTTCAGATCAGTATAAAAATTTGGCATAGTGCGCCACCGTTATATGAAAGTTATCGTGTTCGAATTTGTGACATCTTAATCGTCTTCATCTGTTGAAGTCGAATCGTTTAAGGGGCTTGTATCTTGTCTCTTCTGACCTTTACTCTTACTGGACGGTGCACGCTTCCGCACTTGCTTCGCATGCTCAACGCGGGCGCGTACAGCTTTTAAGGCTGTGTAACTTGTATCGTCCATCAAAGGAAGCAATGCACGTCGAAGGCTATTGTACATGTCTGGGTACAGACTCTCTTCTTGAGCGAGCATCTTTTTCACTCGATGACGCTCTTTTGGCTCTTCAAAACACGCAGGACAATTTTCATTAATGACAGGAAGACGCGAATCGTAAGCAAACTTCTTGAGCTCAATCTCACGCACGTAAGCCAACGGACGAAGAATTTCAACGTCACGCTGGTCATTCCAGTACTTGGCTTTCATAGTACGGAGTTGCCCATTGTGCATTGCCGACATAAAGAAGCTCTCAGCTAGATCGTCTAAATGCTGCGCTAGTACAAGCTTGTTAAAGCCAAAGTTACGGCAACAAGTGTACAAAAGGCCACGCTTCATGCGTGCACAAAAGCTGCACAATGAGTCTCCATTCATTTCACACTTCGCACGCTCGATGATGTTTTCGGATAAATAATGATACTCCAAACCCAGCGTATGCATGTAATCCTTCAAGGGACTCGGATCGAATGAAGGTGTTTGAGGGTCTACAGTGGCGCACGCCAGTTTAAAGCGAATGGGAGCACGTTTTTGAAAGCTTAGAAGCACATGCAAAAGACTTAGCGAGTCTTTGCCTCCAGATACCCCAAGTAGCAGTCTATCACCTTCTTGAATCATATCCCACTGCATAATAGCTTGACCCACTAAGCGCAATAGCTTTTTGGGTGGAGTAGGAAAGAGTTTCGTGGCAATCGTCTTTTGAGTCATTGCGAGTGTCGTCTCTTGCACTGAAGTTGCTGTTGAGCTATTCGTTGACACGCCACAATGATTGGTGCTACAGCTTTCCGTGTTACCCTCGACATTTGAGCTGATGATTAATCGAAGAGGGTACTTGCCTCCAGTCTCGCGCCCATTTGCACATGAGTTATTTTTCACGTGATTGCCTGTCGAAACCGGGACTAATGGATTTGGACAGCAAGGCAAGTAACTATTGACAGGGGCAGCATTCGTTATGTTCTCCCACTGATCCTTCAGCTCTCCTGTGATATAACGCGAAGGCTGGTACGGACCGCAAATCGCTTCGGTCAAAGTAGGCTCGTTCCCATTTCTTATCGCTTCCACTGCTTCGGAAGGGTACACGAACCATCGAAGTGCTTCATCGTCTGCCGCCTCGAGTATTTGAATGACAGAAGCTGCAACCATCTGCAACGGACCGGTCATCATCTGATCTGCCAATCGATGTGCTTCAGTCAGATTTGCTTCTCGGTGGGCAGCCAAAGTCTCTTCATCACCCGAAAGACTAACGGATCGAGTCTTTTCCTCCAGAGTCGTCGCGAAATGAGAAAGCCACTTACGACTTGGAAACTTTGTAAAACGACTCCAGTGTTTCCATACTCCACTTTTATGATTAAACTTGTACAGGGGTAAAAACTTCCAGCCATTTGACGCCACAAATCCTACTGCGGTCAGCACATATTCACGTTCTGTGGTGCTCATAAAGTAAGGAAAACTCACCCGCGTGAACCCTGGTCGTAGCATTTCTTTCTTGTCGATAAGCGCTTGTTCGAGAGCCAGGATATTGCGACGCGTAATCCCGAGCAGTCGAGTAGCGTACGGACCAGCACATTGACACCCGCCGCGCGTTTGAATGCCAAACAGGTCGTTTAGTAAGGCACTTACGAAATTGTAGTGCAAAAAGCGATCTCGAAATCGCACGAGGAATGAGAACACCGGTAGCTGTTCTACTCGGTCGTCCTGACGTCCAAGAAGCACGATGTTGGCGTGTTGCTGAAAGACTTCTCGAACACGTAGCACGTTGCGCCGCTCTATCGTCATGATATTCTGCGTTCCTACGCGTTGTTTTAGCTCAAAGCAAAGGCCAAGACGAATACTACCTAGAATATCTGGAGTTCCTGCTTCCTCTCGCTCAGCACGGTTTGACAAGTAACGATGATCCGTTTCCGTCACAAAAAACACCGTACCGCCGCCTGTAATTGTCGGGACTGCATTCGTCAGCAGCCGCTTTTTGACAATTAGCACACCAGGCGATCCAGGTCCACCAATGAATTTGTGTCCTGAAATAAACATAGCATCCTTGTACACGAACGGACGGCGGCTCTCGTCCGACACAACAGGGTTCATATCAATGTTAATGTATGGTGCACAGGTGGCGTAATCCCAACACGAGAGTGCGCCATATTGATGCAAAAGCGTTGATACAGCGTCTACATCCGTGAGGATGCCAGTTATATTCGATGCGGCTGAAAAAGCTCCGACTTTGAGTTGACGCGCTGCATAGAGCTGCAATTGCGCCTTCAGGATCTGTAGATCCATCTCTCCATATTCATTTTCCGGGATTGCGACAATCTCAGCTCCACTTTCACGCCATGGCAGCAAATTTGAGTGATGCTCAAAGGGACCGACAAAAACAACAGGTCGCTGGTCGGACGTGGTATTAGCACTTAATTGCTGCAAACCTAGTGCTTGCACAAACTTATTAATTGCGCTAGTGCTTCCTTGGCCCGTAAAAAGTACGCAGTCCTCGGCGCCGCGGCCCGTGACCTTGGCATTCACGGCTTGCGCTACGATCTGGCGCGCCTCATGGCGAAAGCACGTGGTTTGTAGTCCTGTAACAGACGTGGTGGTGTGTGTGTTACCGTACAACGGCATGACTTCTCTGTTAACATAGTCTTCTACGCATTGTAGTGATTTGCCACTGGCCGTGAAGTCTGCGTAACAAAGCGCGCGAGGCCCAAACGGAGACTCGAACAACGTATTTCGACCAACGACGTTGTGTGTGATTAGATCTAGGGCCTGCTGAGTAGCAGTAGATAGTGGTTGATTAGGCGCAACGTCATCATATGGGTTCTCCTGGATGTGATCAGTTAAATCCTCTTCAAGCTCTTCACAGAAGAAGCGCGCAGACGCAAAGTTGTCTGCCATCTTGGATGGTTGGACTCAAAAGTAATCGTTAGCCCATTTCAATCAAATTTTTGAATTGTGGCTACACCATTGCAGTCTTTTTTGAAAATGTTTTGTCTGACAAAACTTTATCGCTAGTTCGAGTCTAGGTCCTATTTGTGAGACTGATAAGGATTTACACTAAAACCCGACAACTTCGTTTGCTTCGTGGTTAAAAAAGGTTTTCAAATGAGATAGCAATGTAGATGTGTAAATAGACCGAGCATCCTCCAGATCGATATAGTGCATGAGATTTAGATCAGGTTTTTGATAAATCTTTGTTCATTCGAAGCGTTTCCACTCGTCCATCCTGCCTGTGTGGTCTTCCGCTTTTTGTTTCTAAGCATCAATTCTCAAATATTCTATTGATGCAGGTTGTAATTATGCGGCATAGTCTAAGCTATTCATCTTACTCGTGATGCGCGCTGAGCAGTCTAAAGTGGTGTTTTCAGACGATTGTGTTTGCACTCAACATGATGCTTTTTATAATTTTCAATGTAAAGTACCTATCAATATGCCTGAAAAAGTATCAGCAGTAAAGGATCTCAACTTCTTATATGCGCTACTATGCCGTGTTGTTTTTGCGCACCTCGCACAAAGAAAACTTTGATTCTCAAGTTCAGCTTTAATTAATGCAAAGAGGATAACTTCACTGGGTGCTGAGCTGGAAGCCCGGTGAGGAAATTTGTACTTAAAATGCTCACAAACAAAAATGTTAGTCAGAATCAAGGCTAACAAATAATGATACTCAAATAATTTGTTATACAATCTATTGCAACGAAAATGGAAGCGTTGCCTCGCAACTTTCGTGTTAAACTGCAGAAAAGCTGAGTTGAGTCGTTACGCTTCACCCTATAGCGGAACTGAGAGTCATTCAGGTGACTTAGTACTGATTTGCTCCTATGCTATTGCAAAGCGACACAGATCAAGCGTTGCATTTATCTCTATGCAGTACTAAATTCGTCTGTCTTACGATGCTCAATCATAAAACTGTCTTTTATACTTTACATAGGCTGACAGCCCACATGTCCAACGGACCGCTTCGTTACGAGCTCCGTCGCCATCGTCAGTGCATGAGCTTTGCACAATTGCACAGAAATGTCGTAGGGGGTTACCCGTACCCTGTTATGAAGAAGTGGGTCACATAATATGGTGTGACTACACAATGGTATAACTACATTTTAATAAGAAGCCACTACGTGGCGTAACTGCCAGTAGTTATGCATTTTAATGAGGTTATACTTTTTATTTAGGAAAACCTATAATTTTAGATATAGGCGGCTCAGCCGCAGAAAAATAAAGGAAGTATAGTTTATAATTTGAAGGGAAGAGTTTATTCGCCTTTGGTTAAGATTGTGGTTACTTTTGAAGTAAGCAATCCGCTTACTTCAAGAGTAGCCACTGATACACTCGTACTGGTTCTAGTAGAGAACGTAAGATCAATGATCTTAGCTTAGCTTTTTTTACGCAAAAGAGCTACGGTAGTTTCGGTATATATGAACACCATTGTAAGACGTTGCAGTGCACGCTCATGTTATAGTGCTAATCATGGAGGTTGGTGGCTTTCGGTGAGTGTTATGGGGCACTGACCGTGATGTGCACTTATTGCGTTAGCGTTTGGTATAATTATGTAAATTACAATACGGAACAATTATTCCGTGTACGTTACACTTTAGTGTCCTAGAATTTCGGTATTTGAGTAGATTACAAATTTTCGAAAAGGAAGAGTCCGAGGCACATGTGGGCAGCTAGCGGCGCGTCAGCAACGACGACAGTTTTAGCTGAAAAATAGTAACACGTATATGGTCTGAATAAAAATTTACATACTCTTAAGATAGTAGAGCGAACTAACAGTTCTTAAGAATCTCGATTCCGATCCTAAGAGGATCGCACGAGCCCATCTTTTATGCGTTTGTTATAGCGGATTCAGAGAGTCAAAGTTTCATCCGCTCAGATTACATGGCAACACCGTCATGTTTAGTAATACTTGTAGTCAATTTCACGACCGAGACAAAAAATACTATATCTTCTGCAAGGATGAAACTAAAAATGTCGATTACATGTTCTCAACCAGCTTATGAACCTCTGCTTAATTTTGGATCCGATATGAATTAGGGAATTGGCGGCGACATGGTGATTGGTCGACTGGCGCATACCTGCTGTTAGAATGCGCTGATGAGGCACGCCCAATAGCGCCGCAGCCGGGCTCCAGTGGAAAAATGTTGGTTCCCACTGTGTGACCGCTGATGTTAAGCATCCTAACCTTTGACGGCAGAAGCGGACAAGTTTCTCCCATCTGGATGAGGTAATTTGAGATAGCCATGGATTTTAACTTGCTCATAATAAAGCCACAGCGCATCGCCATCGCGGTGTTCAAGCTTGGGGGTCACGCGCGGTATCGTGTACAAACGTATTATACACCGATGAACAAACAGAGCGTGCCAGCCGAGTGATCGGTGATGGGTTGAGAAGTTTCTGTGCGAAATTGAGTTCATGATTACCATTGGTTGAGCTTGCTATAAACAATTCGGATCATACACCCACAAATTTTGCGCCATTTATTATGAATGGCTTGCAATACCCACAATTATCACTTTGTGCGATGGGTTGTGTCTCTAATGTATGTGAGGGGGAGCTCGGCAAAATGCTGCATACTTCTGCCAATGATGCGAATGTGAAGCGCAAGTACAAGGACGCCCTCGACTAAATTATCATTAGTTGTGTGAATGTGACCACACGGGTTCGAGACGCAATGACCAATGCGCAAGATCTGCAATAGGAATATGCAAATAGACGAGGTTGTCAGGGCAAAATTTTCATTCTGTGGGGGTTGATGTATTGTGGAGGATTACGTACCGCTAAGAACCTATCAGACGATGCCTCGCATTATCGGTCCATTCCAAGTAGTGTCATGCCATGGAAGTGCGTACACTATCGACCTGCCAATTTGGATAAGAACCATTCGACATTCTACGTAATGCTACTCAAGCCCTACTATTGCGACGACGCGATCTTCAACCTGGATGTATCGCAGTCTTATTCGAAGGTGGCTTTAAAGCCATCGCTTTGGGACAAGGGTCACAGGTTGAGCCTTTTGGCGTCGTCGTCTCAGCATCGCCCTCGAAATGACGGGAATAATCGGAAACGTCCAAAACAGAGCGAGATCGCCTGACAGGAGGCCTTGCAGCATCAGCGAAAGCGGCTGCAGCAGAGGGGTGAGCTTGCAGAGTCTGTTCCAATCGGTGGATCCGATCCTCGATTGCGTCCCCAAGCGAGTCTCCATGACGCCATGCGAAGTCGCGAACCTCGCGATGGATCTGTCGGTAACACTTCACGCGTTGTCGTGTTGACGACATGCGATCGATCACCTCGATCAGTCGCTAATTCATTCATCAGCGCGAGAAGCTTCGTCACCTTCGTCAAACGCAGATCGAAGGCGAACGAAAATGTGGACCAGCCACAGAAGCAGCAAATGGGATGGCCGCTCCGGCCACCACCCCCTCCCCCCGCTTCTAGGTCGACAAGGGGATCGGCACTACCACGTCAAAAACTTGGTGGTGGAGAGGAGCGTCCGCGGGCGAAAAGACCTCTCGATGATATGGCTGGGATATCCAGCGAGCGAGAATACGTTGAAGCCTTGTACTCGTATTCGTCGCGACTAAACCAGTATCGTTCGCGCGCTCGATGCGGGTAATCCGCTGAGGGAGGCTGTCCCTTACTCTTCTTCCCCCTTTCTTCTCGTCGCGAAGCCGACTAATGACAGAGCGCGCTTCGTGAGCATCCTCGCTATCGGAGTGGACCCGATTCTTCGCTGTCAATGCAAAAGCACCTTCAATAAGTCAGCAGCAAAGCTTGCGCTTTGCAAAAAGTGGATGTCCAAGAATTTAATCGCATGGACTCGTGCCCATAATCAAGTGTCGATTGTCTAGATAAAATCCAGAGTGGGTTGATGGACGTATGAAACATACGTGAGGCTTCGTGGTTCGCTTCCAGCAGTACCCATGCGTCTAAAGCGTTCGGCGAACACTAGGCCGCGTCTTTAGTAAAAGTCGACGTGGCGATCAACTTCACGATAGCGCAAATGCGCTAAATGACGTGGTATTAGAACAAAATCAATGTTCGATGGTGACGAAGATCTCATGTGGAGCAAGCGTGTCTGTTGGCACTCTAGCGAGCGTTGGACAGAGCGATACGATGAGCGGAAGAAGATCTGAAAGAAGGGTTTGAAAGAAATTGCAGGATTCGTGTAAACCCACTTTTGATAGGGGGTGGTGTAACAAGCCATATCCCAATACACAAGTTGTGTTGACAACCTACTTTGTATGTCTTACATGAACTGCACACCCTGTATAGTTGTAAGTTCCCTCTCAAATCGATTGTATCAAAACTGGAAGTACTAATCAGGTAAGGGAGGTTAAACGCCTATTGGCTACAATGATAAATGTCGTTTCACCTTCCTCATCTCTCCATAAGTCAACGACCCACAGGAAGCGAGCGACTTGTGGTCAGGGGGGTCAGTTGACCTAAGCCCTCCTCAGAAAAGTGTGTGTACACGGACGGGCAATTCCCGTTTCATGGGTACCTGATATCTGGACATAATATGCGATATGCCTGGATAGGCGGTGAAACATCCGCGACATCTGTCGCTTCAAGCTTTTTACGATGATATGTGGTGATACATAAAACTCTATTTCTAATTCAGCGTAATCTTGCTGTTTTTCTTGAACAAAATTGCTGCCCTAAAAAATAAATTGGCATGCTTGGACTCTGTTAAGAAATAATTTGCTTGTTGTTTCAGCTCGCTTATGTAGATTGGCACAATGCCATGCTGCTAGCGACGGTCGTGTGGACATACCCAAGCGAGTGCCAAGAATCTGGAACAATACTTCCCGAAGCCACTCGTGAATCGTGTATCACGATCAGAGAGATGGTTGCGAAAAACATGACTAGTAAACAATCTAGCCGAACCTTCAACATCGATT